AGAAAACTGGGGGATTCTTGCTAAAGCATCTTAGTAGGATGGTGAGGGTGGAAGCCAGGGATGTGTTGGTGAGAAAGTGAAGTCACTGAATATGAACTATGCTTAAAAGAATGTGGGAATGAAGGGTGGAGGAGAGAAGTTGGACTGTAGCTAGGGAGGCATAAGGGGTCAGAGGTTAATTCTTTCTCTCCTATGGGAGAATCTTGGGTGTATACACAGCATGACAACAGTGATGGGAGGGCTGGTGATGCCTCAGGGAAACTCTTGACAGTAAATCCCATGAAGGGAGGACTTTGTTTCATTCATTAACATGTCCCCAGCACCTGGCACAATGGCAGACACTCAATACATATTTGTCAAATGTGGTATTCCATCATTTAGAAACTGCACCTGGCTGTGAGTAACAAAAGTCAGAGAAGCAGTGGGTTTCATTTTCCTCCCCATGCAGAGTCTGGTACTGGGTCTTCCAAGAAGGGTTTGGAGCACCACAGGTTTCCTCAAGACCCCAGGCTGCTCTCTCTTTCTTTCTTTCTTTCTTTCTTTCTTTCTTTCTTTCTTCTTTCTTTCTTTCTTTCTTCTTTTCTTTCTTTCTTTCTTTCTTCTTTCTTTCTTTTCTTTCGACAGAGTCTCACTCTGTCACCCAGGCTGGAGTGCAATGGTGCAACCTCGGCTCACTGCAACCTCCGTCTCCCAGGTTCAAGCAATTCTCCTGCCTCAGCCTCCTGAGAAGCTGGGATTACAGGCGCCTGGCCCCATGCCCAGTTAATTTTTGTATTTTTAGTAGAGATGGGATTTCACCAGGTTGGCCAGGCTGGTCTCGAACTCTTGACCTCAGGTGATCCACCCACCTTGGCCTCCCAAAGTGCTGGGATTACAGGCATGAACCACCTCATGCAGCCTCTTGTGGTCTTTCTTATGCTTCATGTTATTCATTTATTAGTACTCTTAGACAACAGGGCGATAAAAATGCGGGAAGGTGCATGCTATGATCTGAATGTTTGCATCCTTCCCAAAATTCATATGTTGAAATCCTCATCCCCAAGATGATGGCATTAGGAGGTGGGGCCTTTGGGAGGTGATTGGGTTATGACTGGGATTAGTGCCCTTTAAAACCCCAAAAACCCAGCTTGCCTATTCCACCATATGAAGACACAGAAATAAATTGCCATCTACCAATCAGGAAATGAGCCCACACCATGCAATAAACCTGCTGGAGCCTTGATCTCAGACTTCCCAGCCTGCAGAACTGTGGGAAATAGATTTCTGTTGTTTACCCAGCTTATAGTGTTTTGTTGTAGCAGCCAGAGTAAACTAAGACAGTGCTGATCTCATATTCTTGGAGGGAACCCTCAGTCTTTAGGGAAAGCAAAGCCGCCATTTGGGGTGGGATGCTCTCCAAGCACTGCCATATATGCTGATACGGTTAAACTGCAAACTATGGTAAAAATGTGGAGGTCTGTAGAATTGTCAATCAGGAAAAAAGATAAAGAAACAAGTTAAAGTCTTGGTACTTCTGGAATGATACATGCCAAATTGTCAACATTGATTACCTTTGGGTAGAGATGTGGAGAAGTTTGCAGAGACAGCTTTGCCCTGTACTTTATATAAGTAAGCAGCTATTACTTTGTTGCCTTAAAAAAAAAAAAAAAAAAAAAAGCCTGTGTGCTCTTCATGTGACTCAGAACTACCTAGGCAGTAAAATTAATTGAATTAGTAAAATAAAGTGATTATGAATTTTCAGGAAGTCTTTAATTTACCACTTCTTTATTACATCCACTTCTAACAGGACCTCAATATAGGGTAATTTGACTTCAAGATAAAAAGACCAAATTTATTTACCCTTTTTAAAAAAAGACGACTTAAAAGCAGACTTGTCTTGCTGAATCTTCCTCAGTTGGACATTGATGAGTGTACAGAAAATGCAATGGATAAAAAGCTTGGTGATACAAAGATCAAAAGATGGGGTCCTGTCCTTAATGAACATACCATTTCATGGAATATCAGGTGTATAAACAATTATAATCAATATGCTTTTTATTCCGATAAGCTCATTTACTCACACATCAAATATTGAGTGCCCACCACATGCCCAGCATACCTAGAAATCATGCAGGTATAATTTCTACCTATATGGGGCATAGAGTCTTACAAGAGAGACAGATGACAAGTAAACAGCAATGGTGAAGAGCTCAAGGAAGGAAACAGAACTCCTAAAGAGAGCATGGCAGGGCAGGAGCGAGCAAGAGGCCTAGAAAAAGGGGCATCTAAATCTACCTGGGGGTAGCTGTCTTTCACATAGGTCATCGTGTTAGGAATGAGACTGGAGGGTTGAGTAGAAGTTTGCCAGGCAAAGAAGGATGGGAGGAATAGAGAGCAGAGCCGGGGACAGGAGACAGCTGACACGTGAGCAGAGATAAAAAGAAGTCCGCTGTGGCGGCAGAGAAATGGGAGAGAAAGCAAGTGAGGGAGCCAGGCATCAGCTCACAGAGGCCATGTGTGTTCTAACGTAGTAATGGCCTTCTCTTCTGGAGACAGTAGGGAGCCATAGAAGATGTTTGAGCAGGGAAAGTGATAGGACTGGATTGGCCTGTTGTGTAACTCAGACCACAGTGCATTGGAAGGGAGGGGGCTAGAAGGAAGGGGACTGGCAAGAAGGCTATTTTGTTAAACCATTCTAGAAGGGAAGTGAACAAAGGCAGTCCTAGAGGGGAAGAACTAAAAAGATGGGATACTTCCTTAGTATTTGCTCATTCAACAATTTATTTTTACATACACACAAAAATCTTTTTTTTTATTATTGAAACTTCTTATTGTAGAAAAAAGTATGAAAGTAGAGTGAATAATATAAAGAACTCCCATGGACCTGTCACCCAACTTTAACTAGTATCAATATTTGGCTATTCTTGTTTTAACTGTTCTCCACTTTTTTTTCCTGAAGTTTTTTTTAAGCAAATCACAGACAATATATCATTTCACCATATATACTTCCCTATGTATCTCTAACACATAAGAACTTATTTGTTTTAACAAAATCACAATGCTATGATCATACCCAACAAAATTTACCATAATGTCTTAACAATACCTAATACCCAGTCCATGTCCACTGTCCCCCAATTGTTACAGCTGGTTTGTTCAGATCACAATCAAAATCCCCATGTGGCCATTTTATCGACATGGCTCTCAGGTTTCTTTTCATCTCTAATCATCTCAGGGGAGACAGGAGGGAGGATGGGCAGGACTTGGTGATAACTTGCTTATTGACACACAGTTTTGCCTGCTTGCTTCCTCCCTTCCCACCCACTCTTCTCAGCCTCACCGTTGTATGGAAAAAACAGAAATTAAAGTGCTTTGCCCAGCACACACTGAAGCTATTTCCAAGGAGTTTGAAGAGTAGTCCCGGCAAGACCAATGCCTTGGTCCAATCCTCAGGTCAAAGAGGGGAGATGCTTCTCAGTGGTGTAGTATTAATGGCAGCTTAGCTGTTCTTTCCTCTGGAAAATTCTGCCCATCTGCTTTGTATCTCTCATACGTAGCAAAGCCTTTTATTTTACAATTAGAAAATAAGCCTGCCGGGCATGGTGGCTCACACCTATAATCCCAGCATTTTGGGAAGCCAAGGTGGGTGGATCGTCTGAGGTCAGGAGTTCGAGACCAGGCTGACCAATAAGGTGAAACTTTGTCTCTACTAAAATTACAAAAATTAGCTAGCAATGGTGGTGTGCATCTGTAGTCCCAGCTACTCAAGAGGCCAAGCAGGAGAATCACTTGGACCCAGAAGGTGGAGGTTGCAGTGAGCTGAGATTGCACCACTGCACTGTAGCCTGGATGACAGAGTGAGAATCCATCTCAAGAGAAAAATAAAAAGAAGCCTGAAATATGAATGCCACCTGAGTGTGCCTACATTGATTCTAGAGTTTCAGGGTCAAAAACAATACAAGGACCTCTGCATCTGTGGCAGGGAGGAGAGGGGCAAAGACACACAGCTAGAAATGAGAACCTGGTTGGTCAAAGCCTAACTCTACCTGTTTGTCAGCTTTGCTGCAAGCTAGATCAGCCCGATGATCATTTAGGAGAACCGTGCTGGCAAATAAAAAGCCAAGGCTTTTTGCCCCCAGATAGTTGGATGAGAATTACAAGTTCAGCTCACTAAAAGGCTCATGCCCAGTGCTCACTTCATACCTACTCAGGATGCACACTTGAGTTTGAAAACCACTGTCTTTACATTTAGAACTCAGTCCTACATGACTCCTCTAGGATCAGTGATTCCATCTGTTTTGAAACAGGACGTGACCTTGGTTACCAGAAAACCAGAGGTTCACATCAGGCTCTGGGGCTTGGAGGCAGCATACTTGGGGGTTTCTGCATCCCCTGACAAGTGGCAAATGCAGGAGCAGTTCTGAGTTCGCATGAGCTGGGATTTGCTGAACACTGCTGGCAATTGGAGAATCTGCAACAGAGCTTCTCTGACTTCTGCCAGCAGCTGCCTTAAAATAAAGGCGATGTAGCTGATCAAATCCTCCATGAGAGAGTAGTGTTGAATGGAGGAAGAGACACAACCTGTCTGAAAAAGGCACAAAGGAAGAAAGATGTACACAATGATGAGAAGCCTGCAGTGTCTGCAAAGCTCTGAGGTGAACAGATGGGCATCCCGGGCCACAGCACTTCCTTCGCACTCTGCCAGCTGCACTCTGTTTTCCTTCCTCCAGGAATCTTGTTTGATATCGCTAAAACAGCAATCAGAATCACTTTGGTGTATTTAATATAACTATGAAACTATCTGTGCTTGAAAAGTACAGTAGGGAGACTTGGAATGAGAGTCTTCAATTTGTCAATTAAATAAAAGAGTTTTGTTTCTAAAAGTAATCTTGCAGAAAAGGTCCTGTGATCAGAAAGAAGTGGGGGGAGGTTTTCAAGCATATAGGAGATCAGATAGTGCCTATGTGTTTGTATACTACAAAATATATATATATGTAAATTTTTTTTACTGTCAATTACAGCTTCCCACACTCCTAGACAGCCGTTCTCAAGGTATCAATCTGAGATCTTGGGGAGGAATATTATCTGATATGTCACCAAGAATTCAACAGGTGAGTAGCCTGATAGTAGTAATTATAATTTCATTATGCCTTTCCACCATTTACCCCTCTTATGTCAAATAATTTAATTGTATCTCAAACCTGTTCAAGGAAAAGTACATTTGATCTTTCCATCTAGAGATTTCAAAGCACCTGTTCACATTCCAAATTATCTGTGCTCTTACGTAAGAAATGAAAGAAAGGAACCACCCTTCTGATTTCACATCAAAAAAGAAATGCCACTGGCAATAACCAACTTGCCTGGTGTGGCACAAATCATCAGAGGACTTACAGTTGAATCTAAGTCTTTTCAGTTCTGAAGTGGTTCATTATTCTGTTATAGTCTTAAAATTCACAAAAATACTGCCAATAATAATAGCATACACCTTTATAGCTTACAAGCACTCTTCTAAGTGTTTTGCCTTTGTTGGCTTATTTCATCTTAAAGAAAACAATTGACTTTTGTTTTGTAAAAAGATGTGCACGTTTTAATTAACATCTGGTTGCACAATTCTTCTCCCATATAGAAATGGATTCTTCCATGCAGTAGATGAGAGGTGCTGGGGATATGATGAACAGGCAGATTTGGTCATGGCCCTGTGGGAAAGAGAGATGGGAAAAAAGCAATTTTCTTCAAGTGTGATGAGTGTTATGAAAGGGAGGGAAAAGTTAAAATAGGTTTTTTCCAAACTTTTCCTCCTTTATTATTCGCAGCTGACTTGGGCTCCACCAACCTGAAAAATTGCAAGGTTAGAATCTGTCTTTATAAAACTCATCTCATCCTGGGCCGAATATGCACACTGATATGTGGGAAAGTTAGAGAAGAGCCCGTTATACTAATGTTTACCCGCTGCAGTGGAAGTCTCTGTTAAGCATTCTTTTCTTCATAGCATTTTAAAAACTCAGATCAGTACAATAAGGCTGAAATTCATAGAAAATGTAAAAAAAATCCCCAAAGTATATCAACACTCTTAGTTCTGAGTAGAAGTTCCAGAAGGCTTCTTGACTGTCTAGATAGCAAGTCTAATCATTTGTGAACTAGGTTAAAGCAGAAGGTCCAGTTTATATTAATTGATACTACACCATTTGACCTGAGAACAGTCCCTTCATCTCTGAGTGCTTTGACTAAATGAGCAACATAATAATGGTAATAACCCCTTACAAGATTGTCATAAGACTCACTGTGTTGAAGCAATTTGAGATTCTGACTTTACTGAAGCGTAGACGGTGATTATAGGCATGACTCGCTGTGTGGATTCTACCTGGGCTCATCAGTTTCAGAGGGCAAGTGTTGACATGTGGACAAAGGGACGGATGACAGGTAAACATGGCTTATTGCAATAGGGGAACTGTTTTCAGTCTCACCTGATTGAATCCTAATGGTTTTATAAATTCCCAAGTACCACTGAAAGCAAAGCAAGTAATAAGGTGTGTTTTAGGAATAAAAGCAGCATTATTTTAATTTTGCATTTTTCCCTAAAGCAAAGCCAAATGGCATTATGGGATCCAAGCTACTGGCAACTCCAGCAGCCTTCTTCTGAGTTCTCGGCATTACAGATCTATCCTCAAAGGACAAGGCCAGCAAGCACTATAGGTTTTCACATGGAGAAGAGAAGGCCATCATCCTCCTCTTAGCTGGCACATAATTGAAAAAGTGTTTTTCCAGGATTGGAGACTTCATCTGTTCTATATTTGCTAGAATTTTAAAACACACACATAGACACATACACATGCACACACACGTAGAGGCACACACATGAGAAAACCACCAACCACAGCTTTCAGGGAAAGGGAAGAATTCATTGGTAAAATTAAGCTAATGAGATTATTTCCCAAATATAAAAAAACTAAATTTTAGATGATTTAACCAAAGAAATTTGCTCTGATCTTGCAACATAATCATTCCCCCATATTTTATTTCCTCCCTTTTCCCCCCAGCATCCCCATCTTGGTTGGACAACAGAACTAAAGAACTGGTTTAACAGTAAAATATTTTCTGCATTTGCCCAAGGACACATCCCCAAGGAATTCATATAAAAGGGACTGGAAGAAGAGAAGCTGTACTACAATCCTGTAGGGTTCACTCTGTGATTTTCTTTAAGGCTCATCCTAGTGTTCTGCTAGTCACTAAGTATGTGGCAGTAGGTTTTGTTTTTTACAGCTGGATTAAGGGTTGCTGAGAATATGGGTGTTTTCTTTTAAATGTGGAAGTCAAACCCAAACTTTGGAGCATTGGCCTCCTAGTAGATTATGACTCTGGCTGCCTTAAAGTAACCCGAAGCCTTTTCCTTGCCTTAGTTTATCCGTCGGCCGAGTGTGCAGGACTTGCTGTGGGTAACCAGGCCCCTCATGCAGAATGGTGGTCCAGAGACCTTTACAAAGCTGATGGGCATCCTGTCTGACCTCCTGTGTGGATACCCCGAGGGAGGTGGCTCTCGGGTGCTCTCCTTCAACTGGTATGAAGACAATAACTATAAGGCCTTTCTAGGGATTGATACTACAAGGAAGGATCCCATCTATTCTTATGACAAAAGAACAAGTAAGTCTTCTGAGTTCTGCTTATAAATTGGCCTCTCATGTTGGTTAAGCTGATGGTTTAACACTTCCAGATGAAACCAAACCTGGGGCTGCATCTATCTTGTCTTCTTGAGTGGCCTTAGGCAAAGAGACTTCTCCCAGAAAGTCCACTTCCCCTTGCAGAAAAGAGGCGTTGCTTACAAGCAATTCTGGGCATGAACCACAGAAAGAGCTGAGGCCCATTTGGAAAGAAAACAGAGGGGCCATTTCCCACTGATGTAATTGAACTAGGGTTAAGTTCAAGAGGAAGAGAATGATCCACAAGGAAGCAACCCAGAGTTACAGGCAAAGCTCAGGTCAGGAGGGCCCTGGCAAGTAAACACGACTGTGGGATGCGTTTACAAACACAATGCAGTGAAAATCTGTGTGTGTAGTACTGAATTACACTCCAAATGCCAAATTCCTGGCAAGTCATCTTCTCTACCTTTCACTTTTTTTTTTTTTTTTTGTCTTCTATGGAGTAAAGGAGGGTGGGGTGGGGAAGAAATGTAACTGGGTGTCCCTCTAGTTAAAAATTAAAAAGAGGCAGTAAGGGACATGACAAAAGTAGTTGGACCCTAAGATAGCTACACACAACAAAGCAGCTAAGCAGCTAATTGAAGGGAAATTACTGAGGCTCAAGCTGAGATTCCAAGGGGCAGGGGCCTTGTTTGGCCTCTCAGTCCCTTTCATCTGAGAATGGCCTCAGTTCCTAGCAATAATCAGAGGCAGGCTTCTCAGCCTCCTTCTTATAAAGCAGAATAAACCATAGGGCAAGCCCCATCCTTTGTTTCTCTGATGAGGCCATTATTGAGAGGCACTGTGGCATTTTGCTACTAATGATGAGCTTGTTATTGGTGGGGTACAGCCTATTAATTTAGGTTATTTGTCAAATCCTCCAGCATGCAGTTGAATGAGACATGTGATGTGGATACACTAATGACTATGTTGAGTTAGGAGCAATGGGGAGTTTCTGTAAAATCTGTCCCTTTTCTCCTGGCAGCATCCTTTTGTAATGCATTGATCCAGAGCCTGGAGTCAAATCCTTTAACCAAAATTGCCTGGAGGGCAGCAAAGCCTTTGCTGATGGGAAAAATTCTGTACGCTCCTGATTCCCCCGCAGCACGAAGGATACTGAAGAATGTAAGATCCCAGCTGGGCTTCCCCTATGTACTTTGGACCTCCCAGAAGTGAGTGACAGAGAGAGAGAGAGAGAGAGAGAGAGAGTGCGTGTGTGTGTGTGTGTGTGTGTGTGTGTGTGTGTGTGTAGGGGGTGGGGGTGCCTTCCTGGTAGCGCGTCTCATGTTTGTTTTTTGCTAAGTGTACTCTTGGGTTTCCTCCCCCATCCACAGTCATCACTGGAATGCTTTGCTTCAGTGCCCCTGCCTGGGCCCTCCCCTCTCTACTGCAGCCTACAATGAGGTTTTCTTTCCCACTGCTTGAATTATATCCCTAACGGAAGGGTTCACAGTCCTCTGAATCCTGGCTACCCAGAACAGATAAAGACAGGGAGGAAGGGAGGAAGAGCTTTTGCTCCCAGGGGGTCCAAATCTAGCTTTAATGAGGGAGGTTCCGAGAAAATTATATCATCAATATTACATGGACTTCTGAGATACTAAGAAATTAGATTATGTCGGCCCAGGAGGTTGGGAGATTGTGAATTGTTCTGGGAAACAGCAACAGACTGAGAAAATAAAAACACTTCCTTGGAAAGCCTTTCCCTAATACTAAGGGACAGGGGCAGAAAAGACACAACTAAAAGTCCTCTCTCACTTTTTTCTCTCTGTTTGTGTCTCTTGTCTCAATCTCTGTCTGGTTTAGGCCAACTCAACTTTTGAAGAACTGGAGCGTGTTAGGAAGCTGGTTAAAGCCTGGGAAGAAGTAGGGCCCCAGATCTGGTACTTCTTTGACAACAGCACGCAGATGAACATGATCAGAGTAAGGGTGGGGTTAGAAGATGGGGAGGGGTGGGGAGGAGAGGAGGAAGGTGTGGGGGCAGGAAAGTTCTATTTATTTCCTTTTCCCAGGAAAGAGTTAATCGCTACTGGAGTTAGATCAAAATACAGCAAGCAGGCCCCAAAGGCCCTCATTCCAGAAGCAGTCACCAAGTGGGGTCACTGACTTTGGATGAGAAATATATTTCTTGAATTCTGGGGAAGTCTAAAAGCTGCCACAAAACCAGTGGCTTCCGGAGTTTCCTGCTTTTATGATTTCACACAAGGGCCTCAGATTCAAAGAGACATCTCCCCAAGGGGCCAGCTCTGTAATGCCAAACATGGTTGAGTATGCTTGTCTGGTCTCATTTTCAGCTTTGCAAAACCAAGACAAGAGTTCTATATACCAGGGACACTCAAAACAAAAATATTCATAAACCAAAGAAAGCTTTATACCATTTTCCATGCCCCCCTCTGGCCCCTCCTTTGCCCCAGACACATCTTCCCTCTATTCTAGAGGCCCATGGGCTAGAGGAAATGGGATATAGATAGGTATGCCTCAGAGTGGAACAAACTCACTAGCTCTTTAGGGACCCTTAGAGTCTCTATCCTCAATCACTAAAAATTAGAAATGGCTGAAGAACAAGACCAAAGATCCTGTGGAATTTCTAACCTGTGACTGTATTTCTTCTTTCCAAGGATACCCTGGGGAACCCAACGGTAAAAGACTTTTTGAATAGGCAGCTTGGTGAAGAAGGTATTACTGTTGAAGCCATCCTAAACTTCCTCTACAAGGGCCCTCGAGAAAGCCAGGCTGATGACATGGCCAACTTCGACTGGAGGGACATATTTAATGTCACTGATCACACCCTCCGCCTGGTCAATCAATACCTGGAGGTAAGGGGCTGCAAGCCCCACAGTGGGCCCTTTGAAGATAGCCCCATGAGTGGGGCCAGAGATCTCTTAGCAAGTCAAGTGGTTTTGAATTTAAGCTTTCATTTTTCCCACCAAAGAAACAAGAGTTCCTACATCCCCTATGCAGTTGTCATTCTCTAACGGCTTATCTATGCTTAAAACGGTTTCCTCTTCACATCTCCTACCTCCTAATGCTGGACTCCTCCTCCTATAGCTCCCTTTAAGCATCTGTGTCTGTCCTCAACCCTCTCCTGTCTGTCATTGCAGACATCTATGGCCAGTGTCCCCTCAACCTCACGGTCCTACTGCTTGCCAGACACTCCTGCCCCCAAGTTCTACAAGCACATCAGCCTCAGCATGTTCTCCCCACCAGGAAACATGTTCTCCTTGCCCATCAAACATATCCTTCTCCTGCATTTCCCATCCTGATTAACATCATCAGTGTTTGCCCAGATTCTCAAGCTAGGAATTTTAGGGTCATCCCTAATTTTCCTTCACCCTCCACCCAGTAGCTGTCACTTACTGAATGGTACTTTATGCCAAACTCTATGCTAAGTACTTTTACACACATTTGCTTCATTTAATTCTCACAGCTCCATGGAGCTTGCACCATTATCACTGCCAATTTGCGGATGAGAAGCCAGGGCTTAAAGAGGTTAAATAATATCTCATGCATGACCATTAGGAGTAGTGAAAAGGATCCAGCTCTGGAGGCGCCTGAGTTCAGAGCCTGCCCTTTTGATTTCTCTTACCAAGCTTTGTCTCCTCTCCCTCCTAAATATCTCTCAACTCTGCCTCTTGTATTCCAGGCTCTCTGAGGACTAGAGGCCTTCTCATCTCTGCACCAGTACGTTCCAAGGGCTTCCTCCCTGGACTTCAGGGTCCAGCTTCTGTTAGCCCAGGCATTTCTCTACCCTCGCAGTTGCGTTCCACACACCTGCTTACATTGTTTTCCTGTTTAAAATCTTAATGACTCAACCCCAATATAACACAGGTCCCTTCCAAATCTGTTGTATCCCACCTTTCCAGCCCCTGCTCACTGCACACCCTCAACTCTGCTATCCTGGCCCTTTCATGGCCACAGGAATTCCTAGTCCATGACTTCTCAGGATTCTACCCTTTGCAAATGCTGTTTTCATTGCCTATTTATTAAAGCTCTTTGGTCACAAGCTTTTTGCTTAAACAAAAAGAAAGCATTTATTGGTGGACATAAATAATGAAGTTCAGGGGGATCCAATAGTTGGAGGCCAGCGAGAGACCCCTGTATCCTTCCACTTCACTTTTCCACTCTGCTCAGCTTCATCCCTGGCCCTAACTGCTCACAGCCCTCGGCAGTCATCTGTACACCAAAAATCCCTTTCCCATAGCAGAAGCAATGCTCCCAGAGAGTTTCCCTGTCAGCCTGGCTCCTGTACCCAACCCTGTGTACTCTGATTGGGAGGCCTGGGTCATCTGCCCACCATGGGGCCATTACTATGAGCAGGATTACTGTGAAGTGGAGGAATATGTTTCTCCAAAAGAAGAAATGCAAGGTAGAAAAGTGTACGTCTGCCAACGCCTGAAACGATTCTTCTTTGAGCTTCTACTCATTCATTCTTTGAGACTCAGGACTCAGCTTTCAAATGTTACTTCTGCTTTGACATAGGTTTAGTCATTCACTCCTTTGTGCTTCCTGGCCCTGTCTTCACACCTCTCTCGGACTCCTCTCCCAGATATTTAGAGTTGGCTGTTGACACATCCATCTCTGGCTGAGCAGCTAAACTGGAGTTACTTAGAATCAGAGAGCATATCTTAGTCATTTTCAAATTGTCGACCTCACATTCCCGGGAAATATCTCCATCTAAGGGCTGGTCACTCTTGCCCATGGGCCAGGTCTGGCTCTCTGTCATCTAGAACCATTGGAAGGTAGAGGCTACTTTGAGCAATAGGAGAGGGAATTAACTCAACAGCCCTTGGGAGCAACTCCTCTTGTCTCAGACTTTTGAGTCCTGAGGATAACGAACTAATGAGGAAAAGTCTTGCCCTATCTGTCACCTGGTGCTCTTGAGGATTTTCTGTTGCCCTGGTGCCACCACAACTTTTCCAGAGTATGTGATCCTCCCTCTCCAAACTCTGCAAGTGGCAGCACAGGCTCCCCAGTGGCCTTTCAGAAGGTGCCAATCATGGCAGCAGCACCGAACTGCAGGCAACTACTAAGCGATCCCCAACTTGTCTGAAGACAAGAATGACCTTGAATGCTTTTTGCAAAATAGGTTCTTTTTTAAAATTTTTTAAATTTATTTTACTTTAAGTTCTGGGATACAGGTGCAGAATGTGTAGGTTTATTACATAGGTATATGTGTGCCATGGTGGTTTGCTGTACCTATCAACCCATCATCTAGGTTTTAAGCCCTGTATACATTAGCTATTTGTCCTAATGCTCTTCCTCCCCCCACCCCCTACCCCCTGACTGGCTTTGGTGTGTGTTGTTCCCCTCTGTGTGTGCATGTGCTCTTGTTCAGCTCCCACTTATAAGTGAGAACATGTGGTGTTTGGTTTTCTGTTCATGTGTTAGTTTGCTGAGAATAATGGCTTCCAGTTTTATCCATGTCCCTGCAAAGGACATGATCTCATTTTTTTATAGCTGCATAGTATTCTATGGTGTATATGTACCACATTTTCTTTATCCAGTCTATCGTTGATAGGCATTTGGGTTGGTTCCATGTCTTTGCTATTATAAACATACACGTGCATATATCTATAGTAGAATGATTTATATTCCCTTGGGTAGATACCTAGTAATGGGATTGCTGGATCAAATGGTATTTCTGGTTCTAGATCCTTGAGGAATTACCACACTGTCTTCCACAATGGTTGCACTAATTTACACTCCCACCAACAGTATAAAAGTGTTCTTAATTCTCTACAGCCTCACCAGGATCTATTGTTTCTTGACTTTTTAATAATAGCCATTCTGACTGGCATGAGTTGGTATCTCAATGTGGTTTTGATTTGCGTTTCTCTAATGATCAGTGATATTGAACTTTTTTCATATGTTTGCTGGTCACATAAATGTCTTCTTTTGAGAAGTGTCTGATCATATCCTTTGCCCACTTTTTGATAGGGTTTTTTTTTTTTTGTAAATTTGTTTAAGTTCCTTGTAGATTCTAGATATTAGACCTTTTTCAGATGGGTAGATTACAAAAATTTTCTCCCATTCTGTAGGTTGCCTGTTCACTCTGATAATAGTTTCTTTTGCTGTGCAAATGCTTTTTAGTTTAATTAGATCCCATTTGTCAATTTTGGCTTTTGTTGCAATTTGATTTTGGTGTTTTAGTCATGAAGTCTTTGCCCATGCCTGTGTCCTGAATGGTATTGCCTAGGTTTTCTTCTAGGGTTTTCATGATTTTGGGTTTTACATTTAAGTCTTTAATCCATCTTGAGTTAATTTTTGTATAAGATTTAAGGACGGGGTCCAGTTTCAGTTTTCTACATATGGCTAGCCAGTTTTCCCAATACCATTTATTAAATAGGGAATCCTTTCTCCATTGCTTGTTTTTGTTAGGTTTGTCCAAGATCAGATTATTGTAAATGTATGGTGTTATTTTTGAGGATCCTGTTCTGTTTCATTGGTCTATATGTCTATTTACAAAACACATTATTGAGCATCAGCCCAGATTGACTGGCTTGGAATTTCCAGGGAAGAGGGCTGGTTATCTGCATGTTTGCAGATCTATTAGATTTGTGGACCCTTGGAGTCCCTTGTACAGTTACTCAGTTGACATCTCCCTCCTCTCATGGTGCCTCTGTCTGCTAAGCCCTTATTCCCAGCCAGGCCCACCACCATCCACCCACTGCTGTTATAAGCAGGACCTGTTGGGGGCGGAGTGGATGGAGGAGAGAGGCTCTATTGCTTTATTTGTGCAGCATGGAGTTCAGTGGTTCTCACAATGTTTTCGTGAAGTACTATAAAGAATACTCCTTATCTATTTGACATTGCTATCATGAAATAAATGTCTTGTTTTCTTGAAGGATTATATTTTCCATGCAGCTCCTGCCTAATGCAGCCCCATTCACCCAACAGATACTTAAAATATATTAATTGCTTAAATGGTTAAGAATTCAGTCTCTGGACCCACACTGCCTGGGTTCAAATTCCTATTATATGTGCCTCAATTTCCAAATCTATAAAATAGGGATATCAATAGTATCCCTATTAATATCCCTAATAGACTTGTTATGAGAATTAAATGAGCTAATTCATGCAAAGCAGTGACATATCATAAGCACTTAATAAATATTAGCTTTTTAACAAAATACAAGCAAAAACACTGCTTAGGAGAGGAAATGATGTTGGTGCCTCCTGTAAGTTAGGCCCAGCCTCCAAGCTGGTGCTCCTCTAGGAATTACAAAGTGGCAAATCACATCCCACCTGCTTCCCAGGACTTCATGAGGGCCTCTGAGCAGAGGGATATGATGTGGGCAGACACCCAGAAGCTATGATGATGTGGTTTCTGATCTTCCTGCCCTTGGGGTGGGGGAGGAGGAAAGCAAGGGAGTAATGAACAGAAAGGAGAAGACAGCAGGGAGGAAATGTGTGAGGAAGAAACACATCACTGCAATTTGTCCTAGATTTTTCTGCTTCTGTTCTCCTGTTTTGGGAAGTCTGGAGGAGACTTGAAAACCATCCACATCCCCACCCTGAGGATGGCTTAGTAGCACATAGGCCATGAAAACCCTTTGCTGATGCTTTCCTTTCCGGCCCTGAAGGGCAGGAAAGCAAGGATGTTGCTTCACTGGGCTGCTGAAGGCCTGTCAGGGCTCTGAGCAGAGAGTACAGGCCCCTCCCAGGAGGGCAGCCTAAGTACCATTCTGGCATTTCTGTGGACCAAGGTCTGGTGTCTCAGACCCCCTCCACAATAAGGGCTTCTGCAATCTCATTCACCCCATAAATACATTCTCTCTTTCCTCTGATTCCCTGCCCTTAGCAGAGAAAAAAAATG